AATGGCGAGCGCTTGGACAAGGGAGGGGAAGGTTCTTATTCCTGACGCAGGTAGTGCCTACTGCTGTGTGGTTCCCTTATTGGACAGCGTTAGACCTCACAATCTAAATCCGATTGGCCTTTTTTTTTTTTGAGATGGAGTCTTGCTGTGTCGCCCAGACTGGAGTACAGTGGTGCGATCTTGGCTCACTGCAAGCTCTGCCTCCTGGGTTCATGCCATTCTTCTGCCTTAGCCTCCTGAGTAGTTGAGACTACAAGTGTATGCCATCGTGTGCGGCTAATTTTTGTGTTTTTGGTAGAAAGAGATTTCACCACGTTGGCCAGGATGGTCTCGATCTCCTGACCTTGAGATCCACCTGCCTCGGCCTCCCACAGTGCGGGGATTACAGGCATGAGCCACTGCGCCTGGCCTTAAGTGGTTCTTTAAAGTCTGATTCGTTGTTTCTACTTTCCCTGATGAGGGTGGGTGTCAAGGAGTGTGGTATTCTTACGTAATGTCTGATGTTTGGAATAGCATTTTTTTTTTTTTTGAGGCAGAGTCTCGCTCTGTCGCCCATGCTGGAGTGTAGTGGCACCATCTTGTCTCACTGTAACCTTTGCCTCCCGGGTTCAAACGATCCTCCTGCCTCAGCCTCCCACGTAGCTAGGATTACAGGCGTCCACCACCACGGCCGGCTAGCTTTTATATTTTTAGTAGAGACGGGGTTTCACCATGTTGGCCAGGCTGTACTTGAACTTCTGACCTCAGGTGATCTGCCCCTCTCAGCCTCCGAAGTGCTGGGATTACAGGTGTGAGCCACCACTCCTCGCCTCAAGTATAGGTTTTAAATTTACTCGGGCTTTTTCTTTCTTTCTTTCTTTCTTTTTTTTTTCTTTTTTTTTTTTTTTGAGATGGAGTCTTGTTCTGTCGCCCAGGCTGGAGGGCAGTGGCATAATCTCGGCTCACTGCAACCTCCGCCTCCCAGGTTCATGCCATTCTCCTGCTTCAGCCTCCTTAGTAGCTGGGACTACAGGCACCTGCCACCATGCCTGGCTAATTTTTTGTATTTTTAGTAGAGACAGGGTTTCACCGTGTTAGCCAGGATGGTCTCGATTTCCTGACCCCGTGATCCGCCCTCCTCGGCCTCCCAAAGTGCTGGGATTCCAGGCCTGAGCTGCCAAGCCGGGCCTACTCTTGGCTTTTAAAAGAATGGGGCAGATTGCTTTTCCTTTACTACTTCTATCCTTTTCTCTCTCTCTGACTCTATCTCTCTCTCACTTTCTCTTTTCTCCCTGTCAGTGTTTCTCTTTCCTAAGATGTTTTTTTTCCTGTCTCAGAATCTCTTTTATAGGCTTATTTTTCTAGTTCTGTTTCCTTTGTAATTTGTGGTTAATACCTGGCCAATTGTTAGTGACAAATTCCTTGCCCAAGAGGATCCTTGACACCTAAACCAGCATATTCTGTCATTCTTTTAATCTGTACTTTTATTTTTCTTTGAGATGGAGTCTCGCTCTGTCGCCCAGGTTGGAGTGCAGTGGCACGATCTCGGCTCACTGCAAACTCCACCTCCCAGGTTCACGTCACCATCCTCCTGCCTTAGCCTCCCGAGTAGCGGGGATTACAAGCGTCCACCACCACGCCCGGCTGATTTTTTGTATTTTCAGTAGAGATGGGGTTTCATCGTGTTAGCCAGGATGGTCTCCATCTCCTGACCTCATCATCCGCCCGCCTTGGCCTCCCAAAGTGCTGCGATTATGGGTGTGAGCCACCGCGCCTGGCCAAACATGTTTATGGTAAAATTTTGTGATGGGAAAACTGTCATCCCAGAAAAATTTTGAGACCTGATGCTTAGGCCTCAGCAGCTCGGAGAATACGTAATTCTGTCCCAGAACACCCAAACGTCGGCCTGTGAGTTCCCCACTAGGAACAAAATGTAACTGGGGACGTTGTCGTACGCTTGCCCTCGTCACCCTGGGCGTGTTGGCTGGTATCCGATTCTTATGGATTCCCGTTCTTGCCTGCACATGCCCGATAGCAGATCAATGACAATAGCCATTGGAAGCTTAGGAAAAGCGTTTGTAACGTGAAAAAATAGAGGACCCTTTAGCCATCGCCTGACTTTACGTCGAATTGGGAAATAGTCTCCTCCCGTCCATGTGGGATGGCCTTCCCGATGTGGCCCTCCAAGACCGTCCCTGGGGGGTAAAACCCCACAAATGCACCAGCCTCTGTGCTGGGGATGGGGCCTCGTCACGCCAGGTCTGACTGAGAAGGAGGATGGTGAGGCAGTGTGGGGAAAAGAAAGATCAGACTGTCACTGTGTCTATATAGAAAGAAGTAGACATAAGAGACTCCATTTTGTTCTGCATTTGAGATGCTGTAAATCTGTGACCCTACCCCCAGCCTTGTCCTTGCAAGAGACATGTGCTGTGGTGACTCAAGGTTTAAAGGATTTTGGGCTGTGCAGGGTGTGCTTTGTTAAACAAGTGCCTCAAGGCAGTATGCTTGTGAAAAGTCATCACCAGGCCGGGAGAAGTGGCTCAAGCCTGAAATCCCAGCACTTTGGGAGGCTGAGACGGGCGGATCACGAGGTCAGGAGATGGAGACCATCCTGGCTAATGCGGTGAAACCCCGTCTCTACTAAAAAATACAAAAAACTAGCCGGACGAGGTGGCAGGCGCCTGTAGTGCCAGCTACTCGGGAGGCTGAGGCAGGAGAATAGCGTGAACCCGGGAGGCGGAGCTTGCAGTGAGCTGAAATCCGGCCACTGCACTCCAGGCTGGGCGACAGAGCGAGACTCCGTCTCAAAAAAAAAAAAAAGTCATCACCATTCTTTTAATCTCAAACCCAGGGACACGTACACTGCCAAAGGTCGCAGGGACCTCTGCCTAGGAAAGCTAGGTATTGTCCAAGCTTTCTCCCCATGTGATAGTCTGAAATATGGCCTCGTGGGAAGGGAAAGACCTGATCCTCCCCCAGCCTGACACCCATGAAGGGTCTGTGCTGAGGAGGATTAGTATAAGAGGAAAGAGGGCCTCTTGGCAGTTGAGATAGAGAAAAGCATCTGTCTGCTGCCTGTCCCTGGGCAATGGAACATCTCAGTGTAAAACAGAGATGTTCTGTTTACTGAGAAAGGAGAAAACCGCCTTAGGGCGAAAGGTGGGACGTGCTAGCGCAATGCTGCTCTTTATGCACTGAAAAGATTTCTAGAGATGTTTGCATATGCATATCAAGGCATTTTTCCTTAAACTTATGTCACAGAGATCTTTATTCATATGTGTTACTGCTGACCTTCTCCCTATGATGATCCTATTATCCTGCCACTTCCCTTTTTCTAAGATGGTAAAGATAATGATCAATAAATACTGAGGGAACTCAGAGACCGGTGCCGGCGTGGGTCCTCTGTATGCTGAGCGCCGGTCCCCTGGGCCCACTTTTTCTTTCTTTATACTTTGTGTCTCATTTCTTTTCTCAAGTCTTTTGTTCCACCTACCGAGAAACACCTACAGGTGTGGAGGGGCAGGCCACCCCTTCAGGCAGGGCTGGGGGCTTTGAGGTCCAGGTGTGGCTGTGTGAAAGCCCCCAGGCTGGTGTGCATGCCTGCCCAGTCCTCCGTGTATCCTAACACCTGCCCTCCGTGCCTCTGCGCCCGCAGGCCATGTCGAAGGACACCGTGAATCTGGTGCAGGTGCAGGAGCCGACGTTGCAGCCGGAGCAACAGTCCAAGCTCAAAGTGAGTGGAGCCGGTGTGTGTGGGGAGGCCGGGGTGCACATGGGGTTCGGGCGTGGAGGTTGGTGGGCTACTGCCCGTGGGTAGGGTGAGGGGCGTGTACATGGGCAGCAGTGGGGCCCAGGGCCGAGCTTGGGCGCCTCATTCCAAGGGGAGGTGAGAGACGCTGCTGCGGTGCCACCCGAGAGGGAGGACCAGTGTTGGTGAGGGTGTCTGGTCGTCTGGAGGGCCTGGGTCTTCTTGACGTTCTCACCTCATTTCTTTGAGCTCAGCAGGATTTTTTTTAATTTATTTATTTTGAAACGGAGTCTCGTTCTGTCACCCAGGCTGGAGTGCTGTGGTATGATCTCAGCTCACTGCAACCTCCGCCTCCTGGGTTCAAGCGATTCTCCTGCCTCAGCCTCCTGAGTAGCTGGAATTACAGGCACCTGCCACCATACTCAGCTGCTTTTTTGTATTTTTAGTACAGATGGGGTTTCGACATGTTGGCCAGGCTAGTCTTGAACTCCTGACTCAAGTGATCCACCTGCCTCGGTCTCCCAAAATGCTGGGATTACAGGTGTGAGCTACCGCGCCCGGCCCGTCGCCCTCAGTCCCGAGCTCACAGGCGGGGCTCACGCGTTGCCTGTTGCGGCCATTGTAGCTTCAACGTTTTCTTGGCAGAAGACAGAGGCTTCCTTCAGCACAGCGTGAATCAGGGCGGTGGTGTTGGGAGGTCGGCCGCGCAGTGGCCCTTCTCAGGGAAGCCGCAGTGGGGGCTGTTTCTGCCGCTGGGGAGTTTGGGCTCCTGAAAGCAGCCCCTCAGCGACTGCCGTCCCGGCCGATGTCACCTGTGTCTGTGTGTCAGGCTGTGGCATCTGCAGGGCCCCAGGTGCCCGAGACGCTTGGAGCCCCCCGTCCTGGGGCAGACACAACCTCTGGATTGGTGTTGAGCATTTTTCTGGTTTTAAAGGCTTTTCTCTTGTTCTGTGGCTTCTCAGCAACTTGTCAATGAGGAGAACTCATGGAAGCAGGAGGAGTCGGTGCAGAAACACCATCAGACCTTGTTGGCGTCCATCAGGTGAGCGCTGCCCAGGCCAGCCGCAGACGGGGCCCTGCAGGTGTGAGTCGCTGGTCCCGGGGCTCTCCAGCTCTGCCAGGCCTGGCCGCTGTAGGCTGGCGCCTTAGTGGGCGCACTGCCCCTCTGTCCTGGCAGGACCGGGCCGCTGTGTCAGGGCCTCACCCTCAACCTGCTCTTGCTGTGTGGCTCGGATCTTCGTGTCCGTCCTGGTCACACCCCTGCTTTCCCCGCAGGACGTCTGTCACCGTGTTTGGGGAAAGATTCCGGGCCTTTGTGACAGAGCGGGACGCAGTGACAGCCACGGTAAACACGCGTGTCCCGGGCAGGGCTGGCAGGTGGCTGTGGGGCAGCTTGTGGGGGCCTCCTGGAACCCCGGGTCCTGTCCCCGGGTCCTGTCCCTGCTGGCTCTGCACAGGCCCTGGAGCTCTCCCAGCACGGAACAAGACCAAATTGGACCTGCTGGTGGGGGCTGCTCCTCGAGCTGGGAGAAGAAAACACAGTCTCCAGCCTCGGCCACACAGTGAGACCCCATCTCTACACATGACACGTGTATGTAGTCCCAGCTTCTCAGGACGCAGAGGCAGGAGAATCACTTGAACCCAGGAGGCGGAGGTTGTAGTGAGCCGAGATCCTGCCACTGCACTCCCACCTTGGGACAGAGCCAGGCTCCTTCTCAAAAAAAAAAAAGAAAACAGAAGGTGACCCTGACTCCATTTTGCAAAAACTTTATTCCTCAGAAAACCCTGAGAGTTTGAAGTTCACAGATTCCTCTCTCGTTTACAGCCTCACTCTTTTGTGCGCAGGCGCCAGCCTAGTGTGGTGGCACACCACGTCGCACACGGCTGCGTCCTCCGTCCCCCGCTGCCCAGCACACAGTAGGTGCCTGGCACGGAGTGGGCACTTGCTCCGCCGTGGTGCCGGCGCCCTGAGCTGTGACTGCAGCGCCTGCCTGTGGCGTCGCCAGTGTGACGGTGAATGTCGCAGGTGGTGTTGCCGCCCGTGTTGGTGAGACGGTGTCACGTGAGGACACGAGGGAGCTACTTAATGCACCGTTGACTTCTGTTTGTATTTAGAGACAGTGTCTCACTGTGTCCCCAGGCTGGAGTGCAGTGGCACCATCTCAGCTCACTGCAAGCTCCGCCTCCCGGGTTCACTCCATCCTCCTGCCTCAGCCTCTCCTGTTGCCAGGACTACAGGTGCAGGTCGCCGTGTCCGGGTAATTTTTCTGTTTTGGTGAAGATGGGTTTTCACCCTGTTGGCCAGGCTGGTCACGAACTCCTAACCTCAGGTGATCTGCCCATCTTGGTCTCCCAAAATGCTGGGATTACAGGAATGGGCCACTGGGTCTGGCATAAACGATTTTTCTTTCTTTCTTTTTTTTTTTTATTTGGGATGGAGTTTGGCTCTTTTGCGATGACGCGGTCTGGGCTCACTGCAACCTCTGCCTCTCGGGTTCAAGCAATTCTCCTGCCTCAGCCTCCCAAGTAGCTGAGATTACAGTCATGTGCCATCATGCCCAGCTAACTTTTTGTATTTTTAGTAGAAATGGGGTTTCTCCGTGTGGGTTAGGCTGGTCTCCAACTCCCAACCTCAGGTGATCCGGCTGCCTCGACCTCCCAAAGTGCTGGGATTGCAGGCCTGAGCTACCATGCCCAGCCGGCGTAACTGATTTTTAAAACAAGTTAGCGATTTCGGGTTAGCCTTGTTTTCCAGGAATAAAGTACCATTTTAGTGGCCAAGAAAGTAACAGAGGGTGTGGCCCTGTGACATAGCCGGCTGGGTCTGCCCAGGGCCCTGCTCAGCGACTGGGACTTTGCAGGATTTATGCTGCCAGTTGCAGAGAAAATGGCCCTGAGCGAGGGCTCTGTGACGGCCCCGCCTGCCTCCTGTAACCGCGGGGCTGTGGGATTCGGGGCCAGGGAATTCGGGTTCCTGTGCTGCCAGCACACAGCCCTGTGCTTCTCCCTGGGGCGGAGAGAGGGTGGGGCAGCCCCGAGCATCTCCTGCTCTACGAGGGAGGGAGGGTGGGGCAGGCACACCAGTGCAGTGTCTCTGCTGCAGGTGGTTGGGCTGACGCTGCTGGCTGGCGGGGTCTACTCTGCCAAGAATGGGAGAGCCGCCGGGGCCCGCTTCATCGAGGCTGGGCTTTTCAAGCCATCCCTGGTGAGCGAGAAGTCCCGCATCACGGTGCTGGAGGCGCTGCAGCACCCCTTCCAGGTAGCGGCGTGGGCCTGGTCCTCCCTGAGTGCGGTTCCTGGCTGAGTCCCCTCTGCTCCATGAGGAGAACCCGCCCGTGCACACCCTCCTGTCCCTTCCCCTTCCCCGCACGAGGGGCACCGGGACGCGGCTTCATGCCTGGGTTTTCGCTGTAGCTTAGGGGTCTGCATCAGTGAGACCCTTCCCCCATCTGCCTCGGTCTCCCCTGCTCGGGGCTCTTGATGGGGCCTGGGAGCACATCGGGGTCCTTGCAAGTCCCGGGACTTGAGTGTGCTGGTGTGTGTCGGGGAAGCTGCTACGGGCCATGGAGTCTGGCGGCCTCCCTGGGGAACCGCGCCGCTGGCCAGCCCCCGAGGTGCCTGCTCTCCACACGGGGGTGGTGGGGTCTCCACAGGTCACTCAGTGGGTAATGAAATAAAAGCCAATAAGGAACTGGAAAATGCCCCCAGTCCCTGCAACAGTCACCCAGTCTCCCAGTGGGATGGGGTTCCAGCTCCTGGCCAGTCCTGGCTGTGCTTTGGGGCAGCTCCGTTTCGGTGTGTTACCGAGCGTGTCTGTGCGTTGGTGGCTGTGCCGTGGCTGTGGCAGGTGACCCAATGGCGCTTCCCCTTCCCCTCCGGCAGGTCAGCCGGCGGCTCCTCAGTCGGCCCCAGGACGTGCTGGAGGGTGTTGTGCTGCATGTAAGTCCGTGTGCCTGGGACCGGGGAGGTGCAGGGAGGGGTCCCGGGAGCTGGGCCGTGCTGTGGCCCTTGCTGGCACTCGAGGAGTCACCCAGGAGCTTTCGGCTTCTGAGATGCGACTGCTTTGCCCCTGTCGGGGATAGGCTGTCCGTGACCTGGGCGGCACCCCGAGGAGTGGAGTCCACAACAGGGCATTGCCGCAGCCCCTGCCCCTGAGGCTTCCCTGGGCGCAGAGTGTGTCCCCCAAGCCCCCGTCTTCCCCGGCAGCCCAGTCTGGAAGCGCAGGTGCGCAACATGGCCATAGCAACAAGGAACACGCAGAAGAACCACGGCCTGTATAGGAACGTCCTGATGTACGGGCCGCCAGGCACTGGGAAGACGCTAGTTGCCAAGGTGAGAGCACCTGGCTGCGCAGGTGTTCCAGGGGCCGATGGGGTCTCACCCGCCTGCAGGTGTCTGGGGGGCTCAGTCACCTGGGGAATGGACTCCCCTTAGGCCTTTGCCCGCCCTCATGTAGGGTCAGCGTGCTGGTGTGGGTAAGAGCGCCTCCCATCTTCCAGGCAGGGGACGTCTCCTGTTTGGCAGGCTGTGGCTTCTAGGCTGTGGCTTCCAGGCTGTGGCTTCCAGGCAGGGAGGCCCGGCAGGGGCTCCACGCTCCAGGTGGAGTGTGCACACTTTGCCGAGGTGGAGGGAACATCTGTTCTGTCTCCCCTCACTCTTCCCGTCTAGAATCTCGCCCTAAACTTGGGCATGGACTACGCCATCATGACAGGGGAGGACCTGGCCCTCAGGGGGCGGGAAGGCGTGACCGCCATGCACGAGCTGTTTGACTGGGCCAATACCAGCCGGCGCGGGTGAGACGTCCCCACAGCATGCACACAGGCCCTTCTCTGCGGCCCAGCAGGCTGCCTTCGGGGAAGGGGGTCCAGGTGGCTTTCCGGGACCTCGTGGTCTTTCTGCAGCTCTGTCCTTGTGGCCACGCAGGAGGCCCGGCGGAGGGTCCCTCGGAGGGAAGGTCCCCTGAGTGTGGACCCTGGTGGCCACGAGGCCCCCAGCGTGCGGAGGCTGCCAGTGGGATACTTGGCTCAGGACAGAAGGGAGGTGGGTGGGTGTAAGGGCAGAGGGGTCTTCACAGCTGCAGGGGCGCCACCTCCACGGCCGCCCTCCCTCTGACACGCGTGCAGGTGGCGTGGACACCGGCTCCTTTGGTAGAACCATTGGAAGTTAGCTGAAGACAGCATGGCACACAATAGGGTGTGTGCCTATTAAAGTCACACACCGTTTAATAGATTAATAGCTGGGACACCCTTGCGACTTCAGCTCTCCCCATTGGCACCACATTCCTCATGGCTGGCACCCTCCCCTCTGGCCTTTGACCTTTCACTTTAGAAGATCCTGCCCCTGGTGTGGACACTGAGCGGCCGCCAGCACTGCACTGGGCCGGGTGGGGGTGAAGCCTACGGGGCAGAGTCTGGCGCCCCTCTGTGCCGTTGGCTTCCCGAGGCCTTGTGACACTGGGCCGTGGTCAGCTGCCCAGAGGCCAGGCTGATGGGCTTCTGTCAGACCCAGGACTTAGGGCTCTTGGTGGGGCAGAGGCTATACCCCTTGGGGATCTGCCCGCTCGGCCTGATCCCGCCACAGCCGGACGCTGCTGTGGGCCGCTCCGGGTGTCACTCTCGCTGTGCTTGGCCTCCCTCTCCTTCACAGCTTCCTGCTCTTCATGGACGACGCGGAGGCCTTCCTTCGGAAGCCAGCCACTGTGAGTGTCACTAAGCCTCTGTCTGACCCCGGGGGGGGGGGGGCGGGTGTGTCCGTCATCCTGGACCAGGCCACAGCCCACAGCTCAATTCCTTTTTCTCTAAGTTTTGAGTGAAAACCAGCATTTTTTTTTTTTTTTTTTTTTGGTCAGCTTAAAGTTAGGTTTGGCTTTTGAGGGTTGTTTTTTTTGTTTCGAGATGTGTCTCCAGTCTCTTGTCGGAGTGAGTCAGTGGCACGATCTCAGCTCACTGCAACCTCTAGTTGAAGCTATTCTCCTGCTCATCCTCCAAGTAGCTGGATTATAGGCACCTGCCACCATACCCGCTAATTTTTGTATTTTACTAGAGATGGGTTTCACCATGTTGGCCATGATGGTCTAGATCTCTTGACCTCGTGATGCACCTGCCTCAGCCTCCCAAAGTGCTGGTATTACTGCACCGGTCTATTTTTATTTTATTTGTTTGAGATAAAGTCACACTCATCCCTTTAGCTGGCCTGCAGTGGCGCGGTCTTGGCTCACTACAACCTCCACCTCCTGGGTTCAAGCTAGTCTCCTGCCTCAGCCCTCTGAGTAGCTGGGATTACAGGCATTTTTTGTATTTTTAGTACAGATGGGGTTTCACCATTTTGGTCAGGCTGGTGGAGGACTCCTGACCTCAAATGACCTCCCCGCCTGGCCTCCCGAAATGCTGGGATTACATGCGTGATCCACCACGCCCAGCCATACAGTTCTTATGTTAAGACAGGCTCTCTGTCGCCCAGGCTGGAGTGCAGTGGCGCGATCACAGCTCACTGTTTGCCTCGACCTTTCAAGCTCAAGCTGTCCTCCTGCCTGAGCCGCCCGCGTAGCCAGGACTGCAGGGGCACAGTGCCATGCCCGGCTAATTTTTTTTTTTGTGATGGCGTTTTGCTCTTGTTGCCCAGGCTGGAGTGCGGTGGCACAATCTTGGCTCACTGCAACCTCCTCCCCCTGGGTTCAAGCAATTCTCCTGCCTCAGCCTCCCAAGTAGCTGGGATTACAGTCATGTACCACCACACCCGATTCATTTTGTATTTTTTTTTAGTAGACAAGGGATTTCTCCATGTCAGTCAGGCTAGTCCTAAACTCCTGACCTCAGGTGACCCGCCCACCTCAGCCTCCCAAACTGCTGGGATTACAGGCGTGAGCCACTGTGCCTGGTCCTGGCTAATATATTTTTTTTTTTTTTTTTTGAGACGGAGCCTCGCTCTGTCACCCAGACTAAAGTACAGCGGCGCAATCTCAGCTCACTGCAAGCTCCGCCTCCCGGGTTCATGGCATTCTCCTGCCTCAGCCTCCCAAGTAGCTGGGACTACAGGCTCCTGTCACCTCGCCCGGCTAATTTTTTGTATTTTTGTAGAGACGGGGTTTCACAGTGTTAGCCAGGATGGCCTCAATCTCCTGACCTCGTGATCCGCCCACCTCGGCCTCCCAAAGTGCTGGGATTATAGGCGTGAGCCACCGCGCCCAGCTGTTTTTTTGTAATGTTAGTAGACATGGACTTTCCCCTCGTTACCCAGGCTGGGCTCAAACTTCTGAGGTATAAGAGATGCTCCCGCCTTGACCTTGTGAAGTTCTGGGATTACAGACGTGAGCCCCCATGCCCAGTCAGGGGTTTGTTTGTTTTGGTTTTTGTTTTTGTTTTTGAGACAGAGTCTCACTCTGTCGCCCATGCTGGAGTGCAGCCGTGCAATTTTGGCTCGCTGCAACCTCTGCCTCCCGGGTTGAAGTGATTCTCCTGCTTCAGCCTCCCACGTAGCTGAGACCACAGGTGTGCCACCGCGCCTGGCTGATTTTTGTATTTTTAGTGGAGACGGGGTCTCACCATATTGGCCAGGATGGCCTCAAACTCCCTACCTCAGGTGATCTGCCCGCCTCGGCCTCCCAAAATACTACGTTACATGCATGAGCCACCGTCCCTGGCTGTGGTCAGGCTTTTGAGTTTAGATCCATGAAAGTGTGGCCGCGTCCCTGCTCCCTGCAGGAGGGAGGCCTGTGGGACCTTCTGCTGTGGCTGTTTACAAGGCTTTGCTCCTGGTGCCTAAGGCTGGAACCTTCTCTCTGCAGGAGGAGATGAGCAATTACTACCTCAGAGTCACCCAGAACGCCTTCCTAAACCACACGAGGCAACGCAGCAACAAGTGAGGGAGCCCCTCGGGTCCTGGGCCCCCGGGTAGGGCTGTGCAGCCGTCGCCCTTGGTTCCCACAGAGGGACCTCAGAGGCCCTGGATCACAGTGCTGGGCAGCACCCGTGGCCTCAACGTGTCCACCTCGGATGTCCCCTAGGAACGTCCCAGCTCGGGACAGCATGGGGCGTCACTGAGGAACATGCGGGGGCCTCCTGGGCAGAGCCGGGGTCAGTCCCGTCCTCACGGCCCTGTGCGATGCCGCCCCAGCTTGCACGTCCCTCTGCCCCTGGGTTTCCGCGGTCCTGTGCCGGCAAGGGAGGCGGTCTGATTGTCTGAGGCTCTGCTGGGGCCTCCATTGGAGGCTGTGGGTGCCCTGGGGTGGGAGATGGAGACACGTTTGCTCCCACGGGAAGCTGGGCACGAGCAGGTCCTGTGTGTTTGGGCGGAGCCTGGGGCCTTGGCCCCCCCGCCCAGATGCTGGACAGGGTTGCTCCCTCCAGGCCTGGGGCCCTCCTCACATTGCGCGTCCTCCGTGAGCTGCTACCCAGAGGTCCCCAGTAGGTGGATAGCCCCATGGCCAGGCTCCCTAGCCCCTTTCAAATCCCCTTATTTTGAGTTTTCTTGGTCTCCTGGGCCCCTCCAGCCCCAGTCACGTGTCACACGGAGAATCAAGTCCTGCCGGTCGGCCGTGGCCGAGTCTTCAGGCGTGTTGGGCTCGCTGGCTCAGCTGCTGCCGGTAGACGCTCCCTGGAGCCCTGGCTCAGGTCCTTCCCAGAGAGGCAGGGCTGGGGCCCTGGTGAGCCTCCGCTGCACCCGGGCCCCCAAGGTCCTGCTCCTGGCTCGTGTGGCCACTCTTGACATGGACTCTGGGTCCCGCATCCCTGCTCCCAGCAAGGCAGGGCTCAGGCAGCAGGAGGAGTGGTGGTCCCGACGCTGCCTATCACGCTGGGTGAGGGTCAGCGGGGAAGCGCCACACGGGATGAGAACAGAGGCCCAGGTAGCCGGGCGGGGGGACAGCTGGGCGTGGTGGGGCCGGCGGTGACCAGGGGGACAGCTGGGCGTGGTGGGGCCGGCGGTGACCAAGGCTGTGCCACGTCCTCCCGATGTTTCCTGTGCTCACAAGCTGCCGCTTTAGATTCTCCGGGAAAGTCCCCCTGAAGGGACTAAGGAGCCCGCGTTCCCCTCGGGACAGCTTGGCCGGCAGCCCCAGCATTTCCTTCCCCATCCCTGCTCCGCAGATTCATGCTGGTCCTGGCCAGCCGCGACCCCAAGCAGTTACACCGGGACATCCACGACCGCATCGACGTGATGTTTTACTTCGACCCGCCCGGGCCGGAGGAGCGGGAGCGCCTGCTGAGAATGTATCTTGACAAGTATGTTCTTATGCCGGCAACAGAAGGAAAGCAGTAAGTGTCTCCCCTCACCCACCCCTGTCCAGGGACCCTCGCTCTGGGCCCACCCCCGGCCCTGCTCTCAGGACGCACACAGCAGGCCCAGTCTCCGGGGTGGCACCGCCTCCCTGCTTTGCGGTTTCGCACAGGAGCCCTGTGGGCCCCAAGGGTCCCAGAGGCTGCACCCAGGGATGTGCCACCACCCTTTCCTCATCCCCACCTGAGAACAGCCTGGTGGTGTCTCCTCGGGTTTGGGGGGCAGAGCCCACCATCACTTACAAACCTTCAACTTTTTGTTTTTGAGACAAAGTCTTGCTCTGTGCCCCAGGCTGGAGTGCAGTGGCACGATCTCAGCTGACTGCAACCTCTGCCTCCTGGGTTCATGCGATTCTCCTGCCTCAGCCTCCTGAGTAGCTGCGATTATAGGTGCCTGCCACCACGCCCCACTGCTTTTCGCCTTTTTGTAGAGATGCAGTTTCACCATGTTGGCCAGGGTGGTCTCGAAACCCTGACCTCGGGTGATCTGCCCGCCTTGGCCTCCTACAGTGCAGGGATTACAGATGCCAGCCACTGTGCCCGACCACCCTCAGGCCCTGGCAGTGCAGGGAGGTGACGAGGAGTGTTGCTCTGAGACCCCCATGTTGGGATTTGAGGGAGACGCTCCTCATGAGAGCCCCGTGTTGGGACTGGAGAGGATCCTCATGGTCCCCTGCTGGCTGCTGGCCTGGCCTTCCTCCAGCTGCCACGCCTGGCCCTGGAGCCTCATGGTGTGGGGCACGGCTCCGGCTGCACTTGTGCCCTGAGGCCTTCAGGCTCCCTGTCGCTGGCGGTGGGTGCAGCAGGCACGGCGGGCAGAGCCCTCCAGGTGATGACAGGCCCTGGGGCTGCACGCCGGCTGCCTCAGGAACACTCCAGATGAGCAGTGGCTGCTCCACCTCTTGGCGTCCCCAGGTCCCAGGTTTCTGAGTCCTTCTGTCCACCTGACCTAAATTCCTGCTCTCTCCAGTGACAGCAAAAGCCGCTCTGTTCCAGAGAGAGCCTGGTTCCCCCTGCCAACCGCTCCGTGGCTGCCTGCTTCATGCTAGCCCAGCTGTCCCGGCCTCAGTTTCCCTTTGGCCCTCCCCTGCCCTGGGCTCTCCCACTCCCACGGCTGCTCATAGACCTGGCACAGTGACTTGGCTTCTATGATCTCCAGGGAGATGCTTTTGCTGGAATTCAGGGCTCTGCCACTGCCACTGTAACGGCCATGAGCCCTGTGGGTGCTGAGTGGGCAGGTGAGGGCAGGGCTGGTGTGAAGAGGGGGTGCGGCCATCTCCAGGCCCCACAGCAGCCGCCTCCCTGCTCAGCCCAGACCTGGTTTGCATCAGGGAGAGGGCGGAGTTTGGCTGTCACAGGAAGAGTCCCTCCCAAGGGGGCATCTGGCATGGGTGCCCGCCTGGCTGCCTGTCTTCCAGCCCCCACCTCGTGGTGTGGGAGCCGCTGCCTTGGCCGGCCCACTTGGGAACTCCTTCCCCAGGCGCCTGAAGCTGGCCCAGTTTGACTATGGGAGGAAGTGCGAGGAGATCGCTGAGCTGACGAACGGCATGTCGGCCCGGGAGATCGCACAGCTGGCTCAGTCCTGGCAGGTGAGTGGGGCTCGGGCGCACCCACCCAGACAGGAGCCCAACTCCTGTGGAGACGCCGGGTTGCGCCTGTCCCAGCACCAGTGTCACACAGCAGCTTCTGTTGAGGGGTTTTCAGTGCACAGACGTGACACGGGGCACCCGCCCCAGTCGGCCACTCCACACACTGGCGCGCCCCTGCTCCTGCCCTGGGAAGTGTGGGGCATGTCCGTGGCTGACGGTCATAGGTCAGGAAGCCCGTCCGGCATCCTAGTATCCGGGCTCTGCCAGGTGGGGCGGGAGGCTTTCGATGCTCACCTTGGCAGACGGGCACCCCCTGGTGTGAATGGTCATCGGGACAGGCCCCGCCTGAGTTTGGTGGTGGGGCTGGAGGGATGTTGTGTTTCCCGGACCACGTCCGTTGGCTTGATCCTGCTTGACGGGCTCAGACACAGGGGCAGGAGTGACCTCTGATTGTCCCACAGCCGGCTGCTCCTTGGAGGACCCCCTCCTGCAGCTCCGTGGCTGCTGCAGGGACGGGGAGCCGGGACTCAGAGCAGTGTGGGCGTGGCCATCCAGAAAGCTTTGGTCTTTGGGGGTTGCTGGAAAAGCATAACCAGGTCTGTAGAAGGCACCAAGGCCATGCACAGGCATTGCTGCCTCTGGGGTCTGCAGAGTCTGTGACAACCTGGTCACTCAACCTAGCAGCGCTTTCGCGTGTGACAGGTTCATGAAGTAGCCAGTTACCTTGATTTGAACGTTGGAGCTGGGGACTATATGGGCTGTATTAGTCAGTTATGCCGCTGTGACAAAGAGCCTCAGATCTCAAACCCCATCCTTGTGGGTCAGCTGAGGTCTGTGTTCCAGGCCGTCTCCACTTGAGACCAGGTCTGTTTCCACAACTAAGCAAACAGAGACCGGGCGTGGTGTTGGCTGACATTTGTGTTCCCAGCATTTGGGGAGGTCAAGTCAGCCAGATTATTTGAAGCCAGGAGTTCAGGACCAGCCTGGAAAGCAAGGGGAGACTCCATCTCTACAAAAAATAAAAAAATTAGCCGGACCTAATGGTGCACGCCTGTAATGCCAGCTCCTTGGGAGGCTGAGGTGGGAGAATCACTTGAGTCCAGGAGGCAGAGAATACAGTGAGCTGTGATTGTGCCACTGCACTCCAGCCCGGGTTACAGAGCGAGACCCTGTCTTTAAAAATAAGAATAATTTGAGCCGGGCATGGTGGCTCACGCCTGTAATCCCAGCACGCTGGGAGGCCAAGGGGAGAGGATCACTTGAGGCCAGGAGTTCGAGACCAGCCTGGCCAACATGTCGAGCCCCACCTCTACTAAAAATACAAGAATTGGCCGGGCGCAGTGGTGGTGCATGCCTGTATTCTCAGCTACTCAGGAGGCTGAGGCAGGAGAATCGCTTGAACCCGGGAGGTGGAGGTTGCAGTGAGCTGAGATGGTGCCATTGAATTCCAGCCTGGACTATTCAGGATCCTTTGAGATTCCATAAGAATTTTAGGAGTGGTTTTCCTATTTTTGTAAAACATAATTTGGGTTTTCACAGGGACCGCGTTTAGTCTCTATGTCGCTTTGATGTCTCTCAGCAATATTCTGTGGTTTTCTCTTGTTTTCGAGACGGAGTCTCGCTCTGCTGCCCAGGCTGGAGTGCAGTGTTGTGATCTCAGCTCACTGCAACGTTCCCCTCCCGGGTTAAAGTGATTCTCCTGACTCAGCCTCCTGAGGAGCTGGAATTCCAGGCAGGCGCCACCATGCCCGGCTAATTTTTGTACTAAGAGACGGGGTTTCGCCATGTTGGCCAGGCTGGTCTCGAACCTCTGACCTCAGGCAATCCACCCACCTCAGCCTCCTAAAGTGCTGGGATTAAAGGCACGTGCCACCACGCCCGGCTAATTTTTGTATTTTTAGTAGAGACGATGATTCACCATGCCGGCGAGGTTGGTCTTGAACTCCTGACATGAGGTAATCCATCTGCCTCAGCCTCCCAAAGGGCTGGGATTCAGACATGGGCCACTGCGCCCAGCCAGTTTTCACTGTACAAGTCTTTCACCCTCTTGGTTAAGTGAATTTCCAAGCATTTTATTCTTGCCGCTGCTGTTGTAAATGGAAACGGTTTCATAATTCCCCATTCACATTATTCACTGTTGGGATGGAGAACTGCAGCTTTCTTTGCTGTTGATTTTGTATCCTGTAAGTTTGCTGATGTCACGGCATTTTTTCTTCCAATATGGATTCTAGGATTTTCTACGTATAAGATTATGTCATCTGAGAACAGGTGATTTTTACCTTTCCCTTTTCAGTTTGGATGACTTTTCTTTTTCTTGTCTAATTGCACTGTCCAGAGCTTCCAGTGGTGTGTGGAATAGAAGCGGTAAAGCATTCTTGCCTGGTTTCTTACCTCAGAGGAAAAGCTTTGTTTTTCACCACTGAGTATGTCACCTATGGGCTTGTGATGTGTGGCCTTCATTGTGTTTAGGGTGTATCCTTCAATTCTTGGTTTGGTGAGTGTTTTTATCATAAAAGTGTGAGGCGGGTGGATCACCTGAGGTCGGCAGTTCGAGGCCAGCCTGACCAACGTGAAGAAACCCCATCTCTCCTACAAATACAAACTTAGTTGGGCATGGTGGTGCATGCCCGTAATCCCAGCTACTCGGGAAGCTGAGACAGGAGAATCGCATGAAGGCGGCAGGCAGAGGTTCCAGTGAGCCGAGATCGCGCCATTTGCACTCCAGCCTGGGCAAGAAGAGCAAAATTGTCTCCAAAAAAAAAAAAGTGGCCAGGCACGGTGACTCACGCCTGTAATCCCAGTACTTTGGGAGGCCAAGGTGGGTGGATCACGAGGTCAGGAGATCGATACCATCCTGGCTAACACAGTGAAACCCTGTTTCTACTATAAATATAAAACATCAGCTGGGCATGGTGGCAGGTGCCTGTAGTCCCAGCTACCTGGGAGGCTGGGGCAAAAGAATGGCGTGAACCCAGGAAGCGGAGCATGCAGTGAGCTGAGATGCCTGGGCTACAGAGTGAGGCCCCAACTCAAAAAAAAAAAAAGGTGTTGTATTTGGTCGAATACTTTTTCTGCAACACTTGAGACAGTCGTGCGGTTTCCTTCCTCCACCCTGCTAATATCGATTGATTTTTGTATGTTGAACATTTCATATGCGGAACATTGATTTTCATATGTTGAACTATCGTTGCATTCCAGGAATAAATCCTGCTTGGTCGGCTGGGCGCGGTGGCTCAAGCCTGTAATCCCAGCACTTTGGGAGGCCGAGATGGGCGGATCACAAGGTCAGGAGATCGAGACCATCCTGTCTAACCTGGTGAAACCCCGTCTCTACTAAAAAATACAAAAAACTAGCCGGGCGAGGTGGCGGCGCCTGTAGTCCCAGCTACTCGGGAGGCTGAGGCAGGAGAATGGCGTGAACCCGAAAGGCGGAGCTTGCAGTGAGCTGAGATGCGGCCACTGCACTCCAGCCTGGGTGACAGAGCGAGACTCCGTCTCAAAAAAAAAAAAAAAAAAAAAATCCTGCTTGGTCAGGGTATAGAGTCCTTTTAGTGTGCTGCTGAATTCACTCTGCTGGCATTTTGTTGAGGACTTTCCCAGTGATGCTCATCAGGGATATTGGCCTGTCATTTTTCTTGTGGTGTCTTTGTCTGGGTTTGATATCAGGGTGATGCTGGCCTCCTAGGATGAGTGAGAAATGTTCTTCAATTTGTCCAAGAGTTTGAGGTGTGCTGCTGATTCTTCTTAATGTTTTGTGAATTGACACGTGAAGACATCAGGTCCAGGTCTTGTGTTTCAACTTTTACAGCTTGAAGACTTTAGGTTCCCAGAAAAATTGCAAAGGTAGCACAGAGAGCTCCCGGGCCCGGGGCCTTGCCACGTAGTGAACGTCATGTGTCACTGTTGGCCCCACCTGGGACTGGGTCTTGCCCAGAATCCCACCCAGGAGGCCACGTGACATTTAGCTGTCACTTCTGGTGGGCTCTGCCAGGTCCCGTGCTTCCTGGCGGGGCGGCCCCGTTAGCATCTGCTCAGCCCCTTTCCTCGGCTGGGCCCTGGGTGAGGTGCAGCCACTCGGGTGCACCCTGAGGGTTCCTGCACCTGTTTGAACTCTCTTGGGTCGGCTCAAGACCAAAAATGATGCTGAGCAGTCCTGGGTCCCTGACGCACAGTGGCAGTCCGGTTCCAGTCAGTGTCTCCCCACACAGTGGCTCTTGGCGAGGGGTGGGCGCTGTCAGTGGGGACGGGCACCACGTGGTCATCCCCATGGCAGGTCCCATCGTGGCAGCCGTGTTGTGGGAGGATGGTGCGCTGCTGCCCCTTTACCCTGTGAGATGAATCCTGCCTCTGGGAGGCACAGCCGGGATGGGGTGAGGGACCCCCTCAGCTGTCCGGGAAGCATCCCCTGCCCTGTGCTTCCTCCAGGCGTCCTGGTGCACTCCCAAGCACGGTGCCCAGTGGGGGTGCCCACCTTCACCCTGACCCATGGGTGACTTCCCTTGGGACTCCACGCCTTTCACTGGGACTGGGATGGAGAGCGACCTGTCCATGGCAGAAGGGCTGCACCTGAGGTGCTTGAAGCAACACCGAGGGCCACAGTCCCAGCAGCTCCAGCCTCCGCGTGCTGGATGCCAAGTCCTGTGCCCAGGACAGGGAGGTGGAGGCACGGGTGATCTTGATGCTAGCACCTATGTGCCCGAGGTTGGGCAGTGGCTGCCTCTGCCCTGGAGGCCTATGAAGGTGAGGGTCTGAGGATCTGTGGTGCACTGTGACCCGGGGGCACTGCCTGGCCACGGCTGAGACACGCAGAGGGTCTGCAATTCCCTCCTGCCTCTTGGGAGCTGCCCTGGGTCTGCAGTCAGTGGGGCTCGTCCTCGGGCTTTCTGTTATTAGAAAGTCACTGAGAAACTGCAGTGCTGAGGACGCAGGCAGGGCTGTGGCACTGCAGGGGCCGCTCCCGGTGTCCACACGCATGCTGGGCTCTGCCGAGGTGCCGGAAGCCTGTGTTTCACCCTGAGGCCGTCCTGGTGCCCCGGGTTTGGACCCTCCCCACCTCGGGGTCCTGGAGTGCGTTACGGGTGGGGGGTTCCCATGGTGGCCTCCCTCAGCTCCCTCTCTCCTCACTAGGACACGGCGTATGCCTCCGAGGATGGGGTCCTCACCGAGGCCATGTTGGATGCCCATGTTGAAGACTTTGTCGAGCAGCACCAGAAGAAAATGCGCTGGCTGAAGAGGGAGGGCCCGTCCTCATGGACCAGCACCCCTTAACCTGAGTCCGCGGCGAGACCACACCTCACGGAGCCTGGCTGCGGACCCCTCCCACCCCTGCTTTTCCGGTCCCTGCACGTTTAGGAAATGCTTCCCCTAATAAACTCCCACAGGTGCCACAGCGCTGTGTCTATTGGCTGATGTGGTGCGGGGTTTGGGGTCCCCTAGTGTCCTTCTGGGGTCAAAGGTGATAGAAAAGACAGGCTGGAGCTTTCTGGATAATTTAGGCACAGAAGGGTGGGCTTCACATGAGGTGCCTGCCACAGCGGGGTTGGCTGCCTGAATGCCACCCGGGACCGGCTGCTCACGCTCCATCCTGCAGCTGTGGAGACGGGGGTGCCCCTTTGCCTCTCTCCACGAAGTGCAGGGCAAACAAGACACAGCGGTTTCAAACAGGCGATGGCCCGGACTGCGTGCCTCGCCGCCCCTGCGCCTTCCCCTGCCCCTGCTTTCCAGCTAGTCCCTGAAAACCTTGATGGGGCCGGGCGCGGTGGCCCATGATGGATTCTCAGCACTTTGTGAGGCCAAGGCGGGTGGATCACCTGAGGTTAAGTGTTCCAGCCCAGCCTGGCCAACATGGTGAAACCCCATCTCTCCTAAAAAAAAAAAAGAAAAGAAAAAGAAAAATTAGCCGAGCGTCGTGGCAGGGGTCTGAAATCTCAGGCACTCAGGAGGCTGAGGCAGGAGAATCACTTGACCCCGGGAAGTGGAGGTTGCAGTAAGCTGAGACCATGCCATTGCAGTGCAGCCTGGACAACAAGAGTCAAACTCTCTCAAAAAAAAAAAAAAAAGCCAGGTCAGGTGGCATGTGCCTGTGGTCCCAGCTTGGTCCCAGATTCTTGGTTTGGAGGCTGAGGTAGGAGGATCACTTGAGCATGGGAGGATGAGGTTGCAGTGAGCCAAGATCGCGCCATTGCACTCCAGCCTGGGTGACAGAGTGAGACCCTGTCTCTAAATAATCAAAACCTTGATTACAGCCATGGGGTGGGGGTTGGGGGGCGTCTGGCTACGGCAGGGGAACTCATTGGGTTTTTCTCGTTCTCTCCTAATTTTTGGTAGAGACAGGGTTTCTCTTTGTTGCCCAGGCTGGTCTCCAACTCCTGGGCTCAAGCGATCGATCCTTCTGCCTCGGCCTCCCAAAGTGGTGGGGTTACAGGCGTGAGCCACCGCACCTGACCTGTTTTCCTTTTTTTTTTTTTTTTTTTTTTGAGACGGAGTCAAGCTCTGTCACCCAGGCTGGAGTGCAGTGGCCGGATCTCAGCTCACTGCAAGCTCCGCCTCCCGGGTTCACGCCATTCTCCTGCCTCAGCCTCCCGAGTAGCTGGGACTACAGGCGCCCGCCACCTCGCCCAGCTAGTTTTTTGTATTTTTAGTAGAGACGGGGTTTCACGGTGTTAGCCAGGATGGTCTCGATCTCCTGACCTCGTGATCCGCCCGTCTCGGCCTCCCAAAGTGCTGGGATTACAGGCTTGAGCCACCATGCCCGGCCCCTTTTTTTTTTTTTTTTTTTTGGCAAGGGAGTCTTGCTCGCCCAGGGTGGAGTGCAGTGTTGCAATCTGGGCTCACTGCAACCTCCACGTCCAGGGTGTCAGGCCTCTGAGCCCACGCTAAGCCATCATATCCCCAGTGACCTGCATGTGTACATCTGATGGCCTGAAGCCCCTGAAGATCCGCAGAAGTGAAAACAGTCTTAACTGATGACATTCCAGCCTTGTGATTTGTTCCTGCCCCATCCTACCTGATCAATGTACTTTGTAATGTCCCCCACCCTTAAGAAGGTTCTTTGTAATTCTCCCCACCCTGGAGAATGTACTTTGTGAGATCCACCCCCAGCCCCCAAAATATTGCTCCTAACTCCACTGCCTATCCCAAAACCTGTCAGAACTAACGGTAATCCCAGCACCCTTTGCTGACTCTTTTTGGACTCAGCTGGCCTGCACCCGGGTGAAGTAAACAGCCTTGTGGTTCACACAAAACCTGTTTCGTGGTGTCTTCACAGGGACACGCGTGACACAGGGTTCGAGGAATTTTCATGCCTGAACCTCCGGAGTAGCTGGGATTACAGGCGAACGGCACCATGCCCAGGTTAATTTTTGTATTTTCGGCAGAGACAGAGGCCCAGGTAGCCGGGCTGGGGGACAGCTGGGTGTGGTGGGGCCGGCGGTGACCAGGGCTGTGCCGCGTCCTCCCGGTGTTTTCTGTGCCCACCAGCTGCCGCTTTAGATTCTCCGGGAAAGTCTCCCTGAGGGGGCTGAGGAGGCTGTGTTCCCCTCGGGGCAGCTTGGCCGGCAGCCCCAACATTTCCTTCCTCATCCCTCCTCCGCAGATTCATGCTGGTCCTGGCCAGCCGCCACCCCGAGCAGTTGGACTGGGGCATCCATGACTGCATCGATGTGACGGTCCACTGCGACCTGCCACGGCAGGAGGGGCGGCAGCGCCAGGTGAGAATGTATTTTGACAAGTATGTTCTTAAGCCGGCCACAGAAGGGAAACAGTAAGTGTCCCGCCTCACCCGCCCCTGTCCAGGGACCCTCGCTCAGGGCCCACCCCGCCCCTGCTCTCCAGACGCACCCAGCAGGCCCAGTCTCCAGGGTGGGCACCACCTCCGTGCCCTGAGGTTTTGTGCGGGAGCCCTGTGGGCCCCGAGGGTCCCAGAGGCCGCATCCAGGAGGTCACGCCCCCTTTTCCTCATCGCCATCTGAGAACAGCCTGGTGGCGTCTCCTCAGGTTTGGGGGCAAAGTCCACCATCACTTAGAAACTTTCAGCATTCCTTTTTTTTTTTTTTTCTTAAGACGGACTCTTGCTCTGTCATCCAGGCTGGAGTGCAGTAGCTTGACCTCGGCTCACTGCAAGCTCTGTCTCCCAGGTTCACGCCATTCTCCTGCCTCAGCCTCCCAAATAGCTGGGACAACAGGCACCCGACACCACGCCCGGCTAATTTTTTTGTGTTTTTTTAGTAGAGATGGGTTTGACCGTATTAGCCAAGATGGTCTCGATCTCCTGACCTCGTGATCCACCTGCCTCGGCCTCCCAAAGTGGTGGGATTACAGGTGTGAGCCACCGCATCTGACCTTTTTTTGAGGAAGTCTCACTCTTGTCCCCCTGGCTGGAGTGCAGTGCCAGGATCTCAGTTCACTGCAACCTGTGCCTCAGCCTCCTGAGTAGCTGGGATTATAGGTGCCCGCCACCGCGCCTGGCTGGTTTTTGTGTTTTTGTAGAGATGGAATCTAACTCCGTCTCCCAGGCTGGAGTACAGTGGTGTGATCTCAGCTTACTGCAACCTCCACCCTCCGGGTTCAAACCATCCTCTTGCCTGAGCCTCCTGAACAGCTGCGATTACAGGCGCCCAGCACAATGCTCGCCTCATTTTTTTGTCTTTTTAGTAGAAACAGCTTTTCACCAAATTGACCAGACTGGTCTTGGACTTCTGATCTCAAGTGATTCACCCTCCTCGGCCTCCAAAGTGCAGGGATTGCAGATGTGAGCCACCGGACCCGGTCTCTTTTATGTTCCTCTTCAGTACTCAGAGGGCTGTGAGGAAATCCGGTGCCCGGCCACCCCCAGGCCCTGGCAGTGAGGGGAGGTGATGTGGAGTGTTACTCTGAGATTCCCATGTTTGGATTCGAGGGAGACGCTCATCATGAGACCCCCCGTGTCGGGATTAGAGGGAGAGGCTCCTCATGGTCCCCTGCTGGCTGCTGGCCTGGCCTTCCTCCAGCTGCCACGCCCGGCCCTGGAGCCTCCTGGTGTGGGGCGCGGATCCGGCTGCACTTGTGCCTTGAGGCTCTCAGGCTCCCTGTTGCTGGCGGTGGGTGCAGCAGGCACGGCGGGCAGAGCCCTCCAGGTGATGAGAGCCCCCAGGAACACTCCAGATGAGCAGAGGCTGTTCCACCTCTTGGCGTCCCCAGGTCCCCGGTCTGAGTCCTTCTGTGCACCTGACCTAAATTCCTGCTCTCTCCAGTGACAACAAAAGCCACTCTGTTCCAGAGAGAGCCTGGTTCTCCCGTTGACCCCTCCGCTGCCGCCTGCTCCATGCTAGCCCAGCCGTCCGGGCCTCAGTTTCCCTTTGGCTCTCCCCTGCCCCAGTACCCAGCTGCTTGGGAGGCTGAGGTAGGAGGATCATTTGAGTCCAGGAGCTTGAGGTTGCACTGAGCTGTGACTGTGCCACTGTACTCCAGCCTTGGCAACAGAGTGAGACACTGTCTTAAAAAAGAAGAATTTGGGCCAGATGCTGTGTTTCATGCCTGTTCCCAGCATGCTGGGAGGCTGAGGAGAGACGATCACTCGAGGCCAGGGGTTCCAGACCAGCCTGCCAACATGTTGAACCCCACCTCTACGAAAAATACAAAAATTAGCCGGGCGTGGTGGGTGGGTGGGTGCCTGTAATCCCAGCTACTCAGGAGGCTGAGGCAGCAAAATCTCTTGAACCTGGGAGGTGGAGATTGTGGTGAGCTGAGATAGTGCCGCTGTACTTCAACCTGAGCAACAGAGTGAGACTCCTTATCAAAATAAAGAAATCAATCAATCAATAAAAATAATCACAATAATTTGGGCTGGGCGTGGTGGCTCACTCCTGTAATCCCAGCACTTTGGGAGGCGTGGATCGGTTGAGTTCGAGGCAAGCCTGGCCAATGTGGCGAAACCCCATCTCCACTACAAATACAAAAATTAGCCAGGTGTGGTGACAGGCACCTGTAATCCCAGCTGCTCGGGAGGCTGAGACAGGAGAATCTCTGGAACCTAGGAGGCGGAGGTTGCAGTGAGCCAAGATCACGTCAGTGCGCTCCAGCCTGGGTGACAGAGACTGTCTCAAAAAAGAATAATAATAATTTGACTGGGTGTGGCGGCTCACTCTTGTCATCCCACACTTTGGGAGGCCGAGGCAGGAGGATTGCTTCAGCTCAGGATTTCGAGACTGGCCTGGACAACTGGCCTGGACAACATGGTGAAACTCCATCTCTACAAAAATACAAAAATTAGCCAGGCATGGTATCATGTGCCTGTGATCTCAGCTACTCAGGAAGCAGAGATGGGAGCATTGCTGGAGCCTGGGAGGTGGAGGCTGCAATGAACCATGTTCGTGCCACTGCACTCCAGTGTGGGTGACAGAGTGAGACCCT